CATCAATTCATCGTACTTTTTAGCCCCTGAAAGCTTCCATCCGTGGGCGCAGCCGCCCATTTATGAGCCTCTTTCAGGCCAGCCCCAATTATATTGTCAATCATTAGGGATGCTTAAATTTTGCACAAGCCGGCATGGGTTGATGAGACGCATAGGAGAAAGCACCTATAACTACTTGACTCAAAGGATGATACCATTCACAGTATAAAACATCTTGGGGTGGAAACTTGAGGGCATCTGGTTCCAATGCATTTGACCTCAGAAAACCCGAATGATATCATTGCGGGGTGGAATCCATGACATTTCTTGCGGAGTGAACTTCGCTCTAACTAAAAGCGGGTTCCAAGCTTCGAGACTGCTAACCGCGTTTAGTGTTCTGGCAGGGCATCGGATCGGAACTCAACATTTCTGACNTACTTGACTCAAAGGATGATACCATTCACAGTATAAAACATCTTGGGGTGGAAACTTGAGGGCATCTGGTTCCAATGCATTTGACCTCAGAAAACCCGAATGATATCATTGCGGGGTGGAATCCATGACATTTCTTGCGGAGTGAACTTCGCTCTAACTAAAAGCGGGTTCCAAGCTTCGAGACTGCTAACCGCGTTTAGTGTTCTGGCAGGGCATCGGAACTCTACATTTCTGACTAATCCATCCCATAGGGCCGTCAGAACACAATACACCAACACTCGCAAACGACTCGTGTTGGCAATTTTCGGCGAGATTTAAAGATTTAAGCCCCCCCCCTCCGCGGTCCCCCGATTATATCCGAATTAACGGCTCGGTATGCCGATTATATGCCCGGCATACGGGCATGTGCCACAGACCGTGACGGCCGTTTCCCAGTGGCGCTTATGAGCCGGCAACGATGGCTCCCGAATGACCTTGAGACGGAGTGCGACCTGCGACCGTCCGTCGGACCGTCGACCGCGCAGACAGGCCCCGGGCCCCGGGCTGGGCCCTCTCCCGTCGGCAACGGTCGGGCCCGTGTCCGCCGAGCGCAGGGGCCCGGGCCTCCGCCATGCCCATGCCCATGCCCGTGCACGGAGTGCGGAGGCTGAATTTATGCGACTGACCCGCGATGACGCGACCACGGTGACATCCAGGTGACGCACGACCCCCTCCCCCCCCCTCCCCCGCCCTAGCCCCCCGCAGTGATGGATCAAATCCCGATCTGCTTGAGCTGCGGGTGTCAAGTAAGCGACTATAATAGATCTAATTTTTGGGGGTCTCGGGGTAATGCCAGACTGATTGTTAAAAGCGGTAGACAAAGCGATGGACAAAGATGACGAAAAGGATATGAAGGAATCCTACTGGTGGAAGCGGGTGGTTGCAATAGACAAGAGGTCAGTGGTGTGGCGTGCTTTGCGATATATCGATCGATACGCCACTCAAACCTATGAAAAAAGATCGATTATTAGGGTGTTCGCAGCGAACACCTTATTAATCGACTCTTTACCATAGTTTCAAATGGCGATATATCGATGATCGATCATTCACGCCACGCCACTGCAAGAGGTAGGTAATAGACTAATTAATGGCAACCTACAAAAGACCCTTTGGTTAGTTCACTATTTTCTCCTTTAATCTATAAGAGCCACCCATTTCAACCGAAAGGATCGCTCCATACTCCTTATGTCTTCTTTGTCTATTGCTTTGTCTATTGCTTTGTCTATCAGTTTCAACAATTAGCCTGCAGGTGGGGCAGCTTGTGATCTGAAGGATGAATCTGGAAGAAGGGCCGGATTTACCTACTTGCCGCCCATGGGCCGCTAGTATTTTGCCGCCCCCTCCTCATTCGTTTTGAAACATCAATGAAAACCATCAAATGAACGTGCCAGCGGGGAGGGGTGCATAAAACGCGTCTACTGGTGTTGAACACATTTTTTGGGAAAGCCCTGTCAACACTACTAGCATAAGTTCACGGAACTTTGCGCGAATGTTAAGTTTCGTAAACCTATCTCTGTGTGGACAAGGCCTTCCATTCATGAGACATGAACGAAAAAATTATGAAAGAACAAACATAAATGTGGATTAATGAGTTTACCTTCCGCCGCCGCGCCTCGCAGACCGCACTGTGTTTGACGCAATGGGTGAAGTATTCACGCAGTCTTGTAGGCGCTATGCGTCTCACGCTGATCGCACTGTGTTTGGCGCAATGCGTGAGGTATTCATACATTCTTGTAGGCGCCATCCGTTTCACGCTGACTGCAATGACCGCAGTGTGTTTGATGTAATGCGTGAAGTATTCGTGCAGTCTTGTAGGCGCTAATATGTGTTACATATGCCGTTCGCCGCGCCGAGGGCTTCTCCTTTTCATCTCAAATCCTCGTTATCATTTCTCTCTAAGTCGCGCCGTTCCAGGCCAAATTGCGTGTTTGGTCTCTCGATTTATTAAAGGTTCTGTCTCTTGTATCACTAAGAGACGACAAAATTAGAAATTACTATACTCTCAGAAAATGAGAGATTTGGTCGCCTTTTCTCGTTTGTAATTTTGTTTTTATAAATCCGATTTTTTTTCATATCTACACTTTAAAAACTCTCATGTATTTGCACCTTTCAGACAAGTCTGAAAGATCGTTAGGACCTCACGTCAACAACTTACTAGCTTGGAGTCTGGTAAGGGTCGCCTAAATTATTCGGAATGTCAATCACCTCATTACCACAAAAAAGTGGAAAGTTACTCAAAGACTGAGTAAAAAGTGCCCGAGCTTATTTGAAGCATGTTACAAGAGAAATGCGAGCAACCAGATCCTTTGCAATTTTTTACACAAAACGTACATCTCTGTTTGGGAATAATTTTTCCATTTAAACTCTAATTTATAAACGTGAGTAGATTCATACGATAGTAGATAATAGATAAGGTCAAAGAACTGGAGGTATGTAAAAAAAACTCATTGTTTTGAGGGCTTAATTGTCAGTGGTTGCTTCCAGCGTACTCATTTCTGGTCTGGTTTTTTCTACCATGTAAAACTTATTAGTATAACTGAACACACCAAAAAAAAGAAACGGAAGTCCGCGAGAGACAACACGGTACTGTTCAAGTCCGGCGCGGCGCGGCGCGGCGGTGGAGAACACAGTAAAGATTAAGCTGATCCTACGTCATCAAGTAAGAATTCAAAATCCCCATTAGTTCCGGATTTCTTTCGTTTGTGAATGATTTGGTGAACAGACCGTGAACCTGTGAAAATTTCAAGTTCATTATTATTTTAGGCGGAGTTGTCTGATTCAAAGACCGAGCCCAGATTACAGATAGCAGAGAGCTTTAAGCTCAATGTAAATTCTAGGTTTTGTAGCATTGACTATGACAGAGCTCCAAACTTTGAGCTTTCGTAATCTACGATGTTAATCGTTTTATTCATCTGCACAACGTATCCTAGGTTCTTGAAATGAGAGAATAGGAAGACAAAGCTTTCAAGCTGATAAAATAACTCTCCATAATGATAAGATATTGAATCCTGAACCTTAAAACTGAACTGGTAGATATTGAAAAGATTGTAAATATCAACCCAGAATGTTGGCAACTTTTCATTGATACTATCAAAAAGTGTATTAAAGGTATGAAAAAAAATTTAATCCATTCCAAGACATAATTTTTATTCTCCTAAAAAAATTAGCAAGACATTCCTCCGGGTGTAAAAGCTTGAAAATCCTATTAAAAATTAAAAATAATAATCTGTATTGTACACTAAATGTTTTCTCTCTATTAATTTCCTCTGAATGATGTACAGACGAAGACCCCTGATTACTGATTATAGTTTAAAACTCTGCATATCGTTTGATAATATTTTCAAAAAGTTATGTATACACATGCACTTCTTTCGTTATTTATTTCTTTTTACTACATATGACATTGTGCATAAGATTCCATCTTTACCATAATGGTACTCAGCACTATTCGTTATTTATTTCTTTTTACTACGTATGACATTGTGCATAAGATTCCATCTTTACCATAATGGTACTCAGCACTACTTTATATTCAAGGATTTTCAAAGAGAGAATTCTTCATAAGCCTCGCATTCGAGGGGTCAGTGCCCCTTATCATAACCAATGGCATTATGTGAAAATTTATTTTAGCTCAAAGCCTTTCAATTAAAATAAATTAAACATTGTCTATGCAATTTGCGCATGCATGATAATTCTTTTCAATCTCTTCTTAGTCTTCAAGTATGGATTAAAAAAAAGTCAAAGAAATTCCAGCTATTATATGTCAGCTAGAGAGCACCGAGCAAAAAGGCTGCTAATTTTTTAGAAGAAATTCACATTCTTTCACATTGTTCAAAATGGAACAAAAAATCGTTAATGTGTTTGGCAGTTATATTTGAGAATCGCCGCACCAAAAACTGGAGCACATGGATCAATTTTTGAGGTTGTTTATCAGCGCTCAGAATACCCGCATTATCTCCCGACTTCTATTTTTATTCAAACCGTTTACATTTCACAAAAAAACTTCTATCTAGACACGCAAGGTTACAAATGAGATGAGTAGAAAAAAGTATCCGGAACTCGCAAAAAACCGCGATTACTTACAGTCACATCCGGATGACTCCGCATAAAAAATTGAATCTGATTAATTAGCATTTCTGTTATGACCGCAAAGCACACACATTCATTATCATCAAGTGGCGGTGCCCAGAAGCGTCAAGTGGTCGAAAAAGTCAAAATATTATGCTGTGATGTAAATGACCCGAAAATCCCGTTCTTTGCTCAACTGAAGTTGAATGACTGGAAAAATTCGTCGTAATTTTTCTAAGCTCCTTGAAACTTGAAGATATGTAGTCCTCTTGTGCCTAAAATAATTTGGTTTTCGTGGCTCCTGATGTCGTGTTTTTTTTCTTTTTTATTTTACTTCATTTTTTAGATGAAATGCTATGATAGGTTACAACGAACAATGTAAGAAATAAAAAGTTTTATGCGATAGATTTTTGTGTTGATTATTTCTCTTACGCATACGGAGAAACTTTAAATAATGCTGACTTTTTTGGGTGTTGCAGGACGATCAAACTTGGAAAATCTGGAGGATTGCTTATTCTCCTTATCACTATTGGTAAGTTCTTGATTGCAGAAACATCTTTCTTACTGTGTTCCAACGAGTTATAACCGCATACAGTAATTTATTATAAAATAACATTAAAGCATCCAAAGAAAAAGGGAGGTGCGCGAAATTATTTAAAAAATGACTCATAGGTAATTTAAATCAAAATTTTCTCGGGAGTAAGCTGTTCGCAATTTTAAAAAAATCAGTTCTAACTTTTTGTCAGCCTGGAGGCTCAATGTGACATTTAAACTTTAAATTAATTGTTTCAGAAATGGATAATAATGTTGCTCACTACTTTTTTCCCTGGTAGCTTCAATTATTAACTTTATTGTTAAAGTAGAGTCCTTAAAAATGATTGAAAATAAGGACTTAAAAAAAAAATAACTGACCAAGCCCGTATCTAAAAATACAAGTATCAAAGGTTGAAAATACATTTCCGGATGTCGTGAAAGGGTATTCGATAAGCTGTATTTTAAACTGGATTTTTCTCACAAAAGCAACCAGCCTCACGTGAGATTAATTTATCTTACACGTTTCACGTTCCGCAGATAAAAAAAAAACATATTTGCAAGTGGTTTTGTTATATTATAGTTTTTCAAAATGAAATCTTTACCTCTCATTCATAGAGTCTCACTGTCTTAATATTTGTCCGTGCACCAGCCCATCTACAACAACACGCACTCTATTGATTCATTCTTACACTACAATATTTTCGATTGCCAAGGTATTGGTCTCGATGAACTTACTGAGTACTATATTTGGACCAACTATTATAATTTTAAATTCTCAGAAAAGAGGAAGCATTTGTACATCATATATTTCTGAAAAAAGTGCCATCCTCTCAGCATTTATTATTCATAGTTTGTAATAATTATTCTCATAGTATTAACATTTAAAAACCTTTATTTGGTAGTAACAGGAAAAATCCTACTATACACATAAGTCGCAGGCTATTAGCAATCGCCGGTAGTTTGTAATCCATAAGTGAATTTAAAAAAAAAAAAAAAAAAAACATGAAATTCAAGAATAAAGGAACAAGATTAGAGTATCAATAATCTTGCCTTTAATGTGAATAGACCTCTTTTCCTCTGTAAAAACATGACAGTAGCAGGTACTTCTAGAGGAAGATATATAGTGAAAACCACGACCCTGGTTGAGTTTGGATAGGGGTCGCAAGCAACTAAACTAACTCCGAGGCAAAGCGTATGGTATCACCAAAAATGAAGGCACTCCAAGCGGAGATCCTGCTGTTGAAGGTCCTTACCCATTATCCCTTCATTGCGCTGATGTGTATTATTGAAATTTATCAAAACTGCTTGTATGCCGTTTTCATACTGCCGGTGATTCCTAATTGCTCGCGACACATTATACGTTTCACAAGATCCACTCCCTCACACTGAATAAAACGTATGCAAAAAAAAATATACATTTTGGCGCATGGCATTAATTAGAAGAAGGTTTCGCACCCATACTACTGTACAAAGAAAGGGCACCATATGAGCACTCTATGTATGCCATTAAAGTTCCAAACATGAACGATTTATTTTTGAGAAAACCAATGAATATTTACCATCAATACTTCCAAGTAAACGAGATCGAATTCCGAATAAAATTCTCTGAAAATTTCAAACGCTAAGATTCAAAAGTTTCTTACAATAAGTCTCTAGTACTTGAAAAAAATTGCAATGTTCGATGGTTCGTTCTTTCTTAGCACGGTAGCTATATGCACGAAATTTTCTACTCATTAAGACATAAGAGCCTAAACTGTGATTTTTTACATAATTTTTTAAGTTATTCAATCGTATATACCTTATTTTTGGTGTAAAAAAGGACGATTTCCCATTTTTTTAAAAAAAAATTGAAAATTTGACGAATGATTGTGGTTATCATTTATTCATAGAAATTTTCTTTCAGAAATATAAAACTGATAAAAGTCGGAATTTTCAAGGAATTTTAGGATTTCATAACTTGATCGGAGTCTAGCAGATTAATTCGTTTATTTGTTGATACTATGATTTGTCCATTCCCTTAATTTTGAGATATACACACTCTGTGTAAAACTTCAAAAGTTGCATCTGCCTTACGGAATGTCAATTATAACCTTGTCTTTTGCAATCTATCTATACTATAAGCTCCGAGACCTCCTAATTTTGCGAAACTGGTGACGCTTAGTNGAAAATACTTGATTTTTATGCATTAAATTCGGTAGGGAAGCATTATTGTACTAAAAACCAGGCAGAAAACCCACCTTGGAGGATGAGGCTCATATTCACATGCACATCAGTTCATAGTAGGACGGAAAATACTTATGATTGAATGTGAATGAAAATTCAGCTGAGTAACGAAGCACCAAGATCACAGATTACGCACGAAAACTTTAAAATATTTGCGAACTTTCTATACTATAAGCTCCGAGACCTCCTAATTTTGCGAAACTGGTGACGCTTAGTTCCAGCGTTCTACCGGGCCGATTTTCATGATTTTTGCGGCTATCGACGGGCAATTGTCTCTAGATAAGCCAACTCTTTTCAGATTTTCAAAATATGGCCCAGGTTTTTATATATTACGTGGTAAAGTTGCGAATTCTCTCATTTAAACAATGTAAATTTATACTTTTTGTCATAGTTCGTTTGAGCGTTCTACCGGGCCGATTTCCATGATTTTTGCGTAAATCGACAGGTAATTGGCCCTAGATAAGCCCGCTGTAATCAGATTTTGAAAAAAGGACCCAGGTTTTTTTAAAATCACGTTATAAAAGTGAGTGAGTTTACAGAATGCTCCGGTACTGCTACCGCTATGCGCGGGAGGATGCGCAGTGGTCGAGGAGGTTGCGCAGTAGCTGTGTAGCCTGCGCATCAGCTCTACACTTATCTACACAAGATTCGCGGCGGCAACCTTATGTCGAGCGGTGGCCGAGTCGTCTGAGACGTGGGATGCATCCACTGTGAACTCGGTGCGGGTTCGATCCCCGTCTCATGAAGTCTTAATTATTACCTGACTAAAAGTGTTCATTGTTTTACTCCAATATTTCATCAAGCAGTCATTCCAAAACGCGTCCTTTTAATTTTAAAGTCATTTTAAGTAAAGTTTAAAATTAAAGTATGCCTCATATCGTTATTTTTTAGGGGAAAAATAAAACTATCACTGATAGGAGGGTAAAAATAGGGCCGCGAAGCGGCCCATTGATGGCGCGGAGCGCCTTCAGGGGGTTGGGCCGCGTAGCGGCCAGGGGGCGTAGCCCCCTAGTACTATAAGCTCCAAGACCTCCTAATTTTGCGAAACTGGTGACGCTTAGTTCCAGCGTTCTACCGGGCCGATTTTCATGATTTTTGCGGCTATCGACGGGCAATTGTCTCTAGATAAGCCAACTCTTTTCAGATTTTCAAAATATGGCCCAGGTTTTTTTATATTACGTGGTAAAGTTGCGAATTCTCCCATTTAAACAATGTAAATTTATACTTTTTGTCATAGTTCGTTTGAGCGTTCTACCGGGCCGATTTCCATGATTTTTGCGTAGATCGACAGGTAATTGGCCCTAGATGAGCCCGCTCTAATTAGATTTTGGAAATAGGACCCAGGTTTTTTTAAAATCACGTTATAAAAGTGAGTGAATTTACAGAATGCTCCGGGACTGCTACCGCTATGCGCGGGAGGATGCGCAGTGGTCGAAGAGGTTGCGCAGTGGATGGGTAGCCTGCGCATCAGCTCTACACTTATCTATACAAGATTCGCACGGGCATTCTCATGTGGAGCGGTGGCCGTGTCGTTTAAGACGTCGATTACGTCCACTTTGAACTCGGTGTGGGTTCGATTCCCGACTTTTGATATACTTAATTATTACCTGATTATCATTGTTCGTTGTTTTACTGCAATACTTCATCAAGCAGTCATTCTAAAACGCTTTCTTTTGACTTCAAAAAATTATTTTTTTCTTTATTCATCAAAACCAAAAATTATTTCATTCTACAAGTAAAGTATACATCATATCGTAATTTTTTAGGGGGAAAATAAACCTAACACTGATAGGAGGGTAAAAATAGGGTCGCGAAGCGGCCCATTGATGGCGCGGAGCGCCTTCAGGGGGTTGGGCCGTGTAGCGGCCAGGGGGCGTAGCCCCCTAGTATTTTACTGAGATTATAAACCTCATTTTTGCCGTAAGGCAAATCAAGATCACGCAACCAATTTATACTTCCATAATAATTTTATTCTTCAAATATTTTGTATCTATTTTTCATTTAAAAAAGATTAGTTGACCTTTCTGGAAAAATATTAGAAATAATAATACTGTCTGATTTTATACAGATGCCTAAACATGTATGATTATACGCAGGCCTTTTTAGGAGATGATAGAAGCTGAAAAATCTTTACAATTACAGCATTGCAAAATAGTCGCTCTCTTTCTGCTTAACTTAATCCATTTAGGAACAGTCCCTTAAGTCAATTTTACATTTTATTTTAGAAAGATAGCCACGCTTGGACCAGGTACTTTGAGAGTTTATCCTTGAAAGAGAAAATATTTTCCGGAGCGGCTATTAATGTTTCTTTAACCTTGACATGCCCTGGGACTCGTGTGTTTCCAGACGAGGGTTTTCTAGCATTTTCCTCATCCTTTCCATTCAAAGAGATACCACCTCTTGTAACCAAATCCTCTTCACATTGGACACCATAAATCTTGCCGCATGCATGATTAATCGGTCAAGCTGGCGTAGGTTAGCGCACAAAATATTCGGCAATGATAATATTCGTCTGCGACGAAAATTTTCGGGGGGCTATGCCCTCCTCTGACCCCAAAATTTGCCGTCTGCAAGTGTAAAAATTTAAAGTAGCTAAACATCACCAGTCGGCATTCAATCCAATTGTCTGCTTTTTTTGTACGGTATTCGGACTACTTGGATTGTGGAAAATTTTGAATTGAAATTTTTGCTTAATATACCCAATAGCAAGTATCAGATGCGTTTGTTTTGATAACTATAACATACTCATCACCGAAAACGCGCGAAACGTTTACT